AGTAGCAGTAGATGAAAAGCAGGGACTAGAGTAATATGCTAAAAAGAACATGATACACGCCTAAACTTCATACTTACCTTCTAAAATTATTTTCACAGAACACCAACCACCTCATAGTGCCCCCTCCCCAAAGCAAAGCGTTCTGTATCTCCAAAAGAAATTTAGGACCTGCAAATGTTTCTTGGTGCTATTAAGAACTTCTCCCTTTCTAGAAACTAAGATGAGTCGATTTCTACCTGTGTGGGCATAACACTTTATCAAACACATAGGTGCCAGCCACGTCAATGACTTCATCCTTAACGTAAATCGCTGTGTGTGCAACTGTCGTTACATACGGGTCTTGATAGGCCCATGGCTTACAGTTCTAGGTCTTAGTCCTCAGTTTTAGGCTCTAACCTGTAAGTCAAGATGAATCACTGCATTTGTACTTCACATACATCTGCTCAATCTCTCCCCCTCACTGTTTTTCCAGCACAAACTTTCTGTAGGGTTTCTTTTTTAAGTAGCTTTCAGGGGCTACTTTTTTTTTTTTTTTAAAGGAAGGGTCTTCCCTCTGTGCTCACTCCTAATATTAAGAGTTGGAAACTAATGGAGCAGGCCCGCTGCATCTTTCTATCTGTCAACCATGTAGGGTGTGTTCAGTAACAAAAAATAATTTAATGGGATGAGACTGCTTACAAAGTGATTATGCACTATTTGCACCAAGGGTGGAAACTTACTATTTTATTACTCTAGTACAGATTCTAAATCTGCAACCAATATCCACCTCAGCCTTTAAAAGCCTCACAATTCAAATCCTATGGATTTTTTAAAAATAATCACTATTTTTAAAGTAAGGTACTTTGGGCCAACTCCTGCTAACTTATATTATTTCCTTTTGGGGAAGTCAGATAAGAAATGAACTTGCTGTGATTTTAAAAATATGTAACTTTCCATTTTTTACTGTTTCCATGTTAACCGAAGAATGTTCTCTCTCTGGTAAGGAGAGAACAGGAGCCTCCACTCAAAAAAACACACCATTATATGTTCCTTCACACACCAGGTCAAATGACAATCTTAGATTGGAGAAGCAAGCCCTTGCTGCACGCTACCTTGCAATTTTGTTGGATTAGCTTGAAATGCTGAATTGGGAAATACACACCTAGAGTGACAATGTCCATTTCCTCATTTCCACAAGGGGAAGAACTCTTTAAAGTATTACGCAGGTATAAAACTTCATTTTCATGTGATGCAGATAGCAAGGGAAGATTGTAAATACACAAACTGGGATATGGAATTTAATTTTATCTTTATGGAGTATTCTGAAATCAAAGACGGTAATACATGCATCAGCACATCCAACAGAAGACTTTTACAATGGTTTACATTTCCTTTTTATTTATTCCTTGAAACTGCCCATATTGCAGGTTTCTCATGAATGAAATATGGAACTGAGCAGATTCTTTTTTCTACAAAATTATGGTATAAACTTGCTCCATTTTCTATCTTATTGCTAATAAACCTTACAGGCGCACAGTTTGTAAAATAAACCCCTTAAGGACTGAATGCGTAAAGCATGCTGCAAGGTACAAGAAATAAGCTAAAAATGAGCATATAAACCTACATCTGGACCAACACAGTACTGAATGCTGGCAAACATTTATCACGACACAGGGAAAAATTAATAAAAGGAGATACAGTTCAGTCCTGAAAGGGTTAAACAGAAACCCTAATATATTATTGTCTCTAACCATCCACCCCACGTACAGTGCTTGAAAACAAAGTCAAAAGTCTGGCACAGAAAAATCACACACATTTGTTCAGTACTCATCAGAAACAGCTGCTTTTGAAATCAAAAGGAAGTAACAGGGTTAATAATTGATTAGCATTTTGTTTCAAAAAGGGACCCCCTTGTAGAATATCTGGTTAAACATGACTAGTTAGTTGTCAAAAACTGCATTTGGATTTTTTCTGAAAGGGCACAGATGGCACCAGTTTCACTAAAAAAACAAAAACAAAAAGCAAGCCCTAACCAGTTAGGACTGCGAGTTAAGTCTGTGCAGTCAGTGACCAAAATCTCACTAATGAATACAGATCTGAGGATGCCTTGAGTTGCCACAGTTTGAGAAAAAGTCAGCAGCAGGTTAAATATTATACTAGTGTTCAACTCTGAAATCATTCAAAACGAAAGGGCATTCTACGTGTAAAGTCTTGTTTGCCTTCCCAATCTATGCGATAAATTTAGTGGGCCTAATCAAAACATACTGGGTCACAGCGCAGCTCCTATGTGTACTTTTGGAATCTGCAGAGAATCGTGAGCGCACAGGAACACTTCTACAGCAGAACCTAGAATCAGCCCTCCAGGGTGCTGGACTTGAACTGAAGAGGGGCTGCTCTGGCGGGCAGAGAGCAGTATCTTGAGCAAAGCCACCGCTGGGGTAGGGGCTGTGTCCTGCCACTCCCGGAAGTTATACACTGAACATGATTCACAAATCCATGACAAAAGATTTTTCAAAGCAGCTGACGGAAGAACTACTGATAAACAATAAACTAGAGTAGACGAATCATTTCAGTCTTTAGTTTGTGGTGTTACTGACACAGAAATGGGGAGAATGCCTGGATATATACGTACATTCCTGGACTTGGGGGAAAAAAAGAAAAAGGCATACAGTCAAATATTTCAATTATCTTATTAAAAAAGAAGCAAAATAAGATATAAACAGTGAAAAAGCAAAAGTTCATTTTAATAAAGCCATAAGTTTAAACTATTTTGAGCTGCAAAGCTGGGTAAGTAAGGATAGATTTGTTCTTCAAAAGCATCTCCTCTGTTAAGGTTAATTTATAATTTTGTTACTGGGAAGTGGCGGAAACTTGTGGCCCATTACAAGTAGAGCAGCACTGAAAAAATTCCGCACTCTGAACAAAAAGCACTGTGTAAAGACTATTTCTGTGACTCAACAAAGAATAAATACTACTCAGAAGTGAGCAAGTTTGCAAGAAAAAGCAACAGTAAACAGTAAAAACAAAGAAAGATAAGGCCACAATGAGTTCTGCCCTTGATCACCAGAACAGGTTTAAAATGTGAGGCAGGATCAGCTCACAAGAGAAGCGAGTGACTGAGCCGATCTGAAGAGAAGGCTATGCATATAGTAGAGTGCAGCCTGTGAGTCATTAAGGAGGCTTGCAGTAAAGGAAAACCACAATAACTCTGATGAAACCACTAACCTGTTTTACATATGACTCCCCCTTGAAAACTGAGGAAAAAGTGATTTGTAGCTGTTAGGAATTGTATTTACAATAGTCTGAGCAAAAGAATGAGTGGTGATGGTGACGATGATGATGGCGGCAAAGCTGGGGGAGGGAGGTGGAAGCTACTGATACATAAAAGTTTACTCGTGGAAATTTCTTCACAACAGCCCGGGACACCGGAAAGACCACGCGCGGTGCGCCACACTGCACGGAGTTCCAGGTCTGCGTCCCTAAGGTACCGGTGGCTCCTGTGTCAACGGGGCAGTAAAAGCTTACCACAATCGAGAGGTAGTTTTACTCTAACAAGGACGATTGTATCACGGGACTATGTCTCACAACATCACACACGTGGTTCCCGAACTCCATGCAGCCCGTGCGATGGGTCTGCAGCAATTAATTTCTAAGAGACCGAACGAAGGCATCGCCGACGTGCCGGAATGGAAGCGGTGTGAGACTCTCGAGCTGGACCTGCAGGCCAACACACAGCCCTGAACGCAACCAAATCTGAACTGAATGGAAAAGGAACGTTTTCTGAGTAGGGGGCGTGTGCAGCGGCCAGTACCAGGGAAGAGAACACGGTGGGCGAGGAGGGGCGGGGGTGGAAAGGTGAGTTACTTTTGCATTTGTAGACTCTCACAACTCTCTGTTTCTAAAGTACTGTCTTCCAGCTATTTCAGTTGGTCACCTAATAGAAGCATCTTGTTTTAAGGTTACAATGATGTTTTGACCTACGCTACCATAAAAAAGGAATTAAAAACAAGCCTTTTGTCGAGATTTTCCTCATTATCGTGTAAGGGCACCATCTACCCACTGGTAGCAAATACTTCATGATTTTTTTCTGCTGTATGCCAACAAGGCAAAAATTACCCTGCTGAAGGAAATCACCAGAACATTCCACGTTCAAAATAAAATGTTTAACTTACACATAATACAAGTTATGTACAAGATTAAGAGAGACAACAGACTGAACAAATCCTGGAAGATGTTGACACACTTATGCAATGGGCAAGGGGAGGGGACACTTCAAATGTTCTGAGCCATTAACTCATTAATGACGAAAATGGCCACACTGAATTCCATGTCACTGTTAGAACCTCTTGGGTTATCACTATAAATACATTAAAAAAAAAAAAAGGAAAACATGGAAGTAACTAGCAACCTAGCAACAGTGTCTGAGGAGAGAGACTAGGTGAACATACATTGCATGTATTGCAGGCAAGGCAGAGGCATTTTTTTAAAGCTTTTGCACAGACTTCATATAATCTTTAAAAAAAAAATAGGCAGGCCTTTACAAGAGTTGACTTGCTGAAATCAAAACAATTTCGACTTGGGAAAAGTCATAAGACCTCAGCTTTAAAAAAAAAATAAAAAGAACAGTTCCAGCCTTAGACCACAAGAAAACCTGGAAGAGTGTGGTGATTAGGTGACACAAGCATGGTCAGGCTTTGGAACCTGAATGTACTGGAGCAAAAAAAGCTCCGGGGAAGGGGGCTGGGCGGGGAGAACCACCTATCTGGTAACAAAGGTGAATTATATGCGGTGATATAAAAAGGTATGGTGAACATGTACCTTTTACTAAAGCTTATACAAGTTCCTTGGTCCATAAAAACTAGGTTAGATTTGTATCTTCTAGTTTGATTACCTTTTATTCCAGCCACATCTCTATTTCTTGCCCATTTAAACAAAACCAAACAAAAACCAACAAACAAAATTAACAGCTGAAAATAACTGATTTCCAATGGTTTGTACATTTTGATGTTTTTTTTGTTGGCTTTACTGTGGCTTCTGCATTTCCAATCAGCACTTGCAGGTAACGGGGTTTTTGAGTAGTATCACTGGTATGAAAAGTTTTCCCAAGAAACCACAAAAGATTGTTCATTTTTCTCTCTTTCCTTTTTTTTTCTGCCACCCTTTTGCCGCACTCAAGTCAGTTAAGTCCTAGCAAAAGAACGGTAGTTAGGACACCACTGTTGCTGTGGATGATGTGACATTGGTTGAATTTGTGCTGACATTTGTGTAACTTCCCTCGCTGTTTGTGTTTGATTCGTTCGAGGGCACTTGGCTGGAGTTGGCTCGAAGGATTGCGCCCGCTGCACTGCAATGTGGCCGAGGCCCTGGTTCTGGTGTGTAGGTAAAGGTAAGGCTGGTGGAATAAATGATTCCATCGTTACGGACCAAAGTTACTGGAACTTGCACTGGCTGCCGGACCCATCTCCAACCTTCTCGGAATGCAGAAATGTCTGGGACCACACAGAGCATACTCTCGCCACATCTGAGGAGGAAACAGGTGTCACTTAAAATCAAGGCAAATTCTATAATGGAAACTGGGTGCTTAAATACATTACAATCAGTATCAGGCAAGAATCTCATATGCACAGGCCCAGCAAAACCTCTGGATGATGTAATGAGTTTTATCAAATACCTGTACATGGTTTCCGCTTCTACATCTCCAAACCATACTCGTAAATTCGGAGTGAAGTTCTGTCCTGTAAGTTCAAGCATTGCTACGTCCCCGCCGCCATTCAACTGCAATTCATAGAAATCGGAACAACTGTTGAGAAAACTTGTCATTTTTCATTCAAGTAAGCACAGATTAACTTCTCACTGGAGGATCATTTATAGAAAAAAATGGCAACTAAAATATTTCTTTTAAAGTGACATGATTACAGAGTGAGTTAAACGATCTCAAGATAACATTCAAGTTGATTTGAATTTAAAGTGTCTTGCATAATAGTATGATCCTGGGATTTCTATTTTTTAATAAGTGAATGTATAGCAAATCCCTAAATGCAAAGATTTGGAGAAAAAGAACACAACGACTGCGAAACAAAATCACACCAAGTGATAACTGAGAGCAGCTGCAAAGAGCTACAAGTCACCTGGCAGTTAAGTGGCCTCACCTGAAGACTCTCTACGACAGGCACAGGTGTGACTGGGGCGAGGACAGGGCCCATTCCCTCATAAAATGTATACTCTGCCTTATCCGTGCTGATGATTGTCCAGGAAGCTCCATCATTTATCATCTCTTTATTTGGTTCTTTTGGGCATGGAGTGGCCTGATGCAGAAAGAATTCTGAGTTTTACATATACTGTTGCACAAGACAAGCTTATCAAAGTAACACAGGCTGTAGCTAACATGGAGAAAATTTAGTCAACCATGGCACTTTGCCAATTCCTAAATACAGAATATTAATGTGGAAAGTTCACATAGGGTAGTTTTTTATTATAATACAAAATATTTCAGTGACTAAGTAATTAACACCACCTTGCAGAATAACCACTTAAGAGTACATCGGTAGCTGCCTAATTTCTTTAATAAAAGATCAGTGTGTTTGATTCAAGTAGCTGATTAAAATTCTTCAGGGTATCCTAAGAGGAGAGACTGGGAGCCCCTCACGCTTGGAGAAAAACTAGGAACTTACTGCACCTTCACAGGAGGGAACCAAGATGTGTCCTGGCAATCCTGTATGCCTACTTTAAAACACTAGACCAGGGCCTCCCCGGTGGCGCAGCAGTTGAGCACTGGGTTGCGAAGCTGCCCGCGACCTCTGCGGCGCCGGCTCGATCCCCGGCTGCTCCCCGGCCACCGGAGGAGGGTCCCACATGGCGCGCAGACCTCTCCTGCCGCCCGCTGCTCCCCTCAGCAGTGTACTTCGGTCCTTCTGCCTGCTCTGCTCCCCGCTCTGGCTCTGGTGAATTCTCTCACCCTCCCGCGCTTCTGACTGTACCCAGTGAATGTACAAAAAAAAAAAACCAAACAAATAAATAAAGCATGCCTCTATAAAAAAAAAAATAAAAAATAAAAAAATAAAACACTAGACCAGTCCACAGTGCTGGATGACCCAGAATAGCTGCATGTGGCTATTATCTCTGAAACAGGATGCTAATGTTTGCAAACAAGTTTCACAGGAAGGCCTAATTATCCTGTGAAATCATTTGCCCATGTCTAAAATGTCCTCAGGAAAGCCTTCTGAGTAAAAGTAGCTACACGTGAGCTTTTAATGCATACTGTCTTTACTGTCTTGGAAGGCTCCAACACAAATCTGATGAAAATTATGAACCAGCCCCCAAAATATACATGCATCCACACACAATATCTGCACCTAATTTCAAAGACCCTGGACATTCCAAAATTTGTTTCTAGATAATCTGAAGGGCTTTTTGTTCCTCAGAACTAGATGCTAGATTTTCTCAGAACATTCTGTAGTTTTGAGTTCCTTGCTGAGTTAGGAACTGTCATGTCTAAGGCTACTGGAGGGACGGATGCTTGGACTTGAGATAAATATGTGAACACAGTTTCGTGTTTTTGCCAATAATTAACTTTAAACAAAGGCTCAGGTTTCACTATGTTGTTAACATGAAAATTTTCCCATTTTGGATTTCAGCAATAACTTAAAAAAAAAAAAAACATACCTGAAACTGGATTATTCTTTCTTGAGAAAGGCACAAGTACATTCTTTCTGTATCCTTAAGGTAAAATGCACATTTATGGAGCTGTGACACAGGATCATCTGCATCCAGCAATGCAGTCTGCTTGTCGACCTTCCTAATTATCTTTATTTCAACAATTAAAAAAAAAAAAAAAAGGTCATCACATACGCAGTTTTCATTTTGTACGCTGTCAAGAATACACAAAATTTATGCTATACAGCACAGTTATTTGTCACATAGCCACAGCTACAAAAACATTTACAAACAATAAGGTTAGGGCAAAAAAATAAATGACAAGCATGTCAGTATGTGGAAACCATTACCTCCCATGAATGCCTAAACCACCAAGGCAGCAGGCCGTTGTGTTCTAGATCAGTGCTTGCCAAACTTTAATGTGCATGTAAGTCATTTGGGAATGTTTTCAAAGGTACAGGTTCCAAACGATTCAACAAATCTTGGTTGGGGCCTCATATTCTGCATTTCTAACAAATTCCCAGTGATGTTTATGCTGCTGGTATGCGAGCCATATTTTAAGTAGCAAGTTCAGGTGACGTTTCCCGTAATATACAGAATAACAAAAATTTCAATGTCAAAGGAAAAAGTCTCTCTAAAGGCTACTTGGGTGTGCTCACCAGTGCGGTCCATTAATCAGTACTTTCTATAATTATAATCCAAGTTTTCTACAACATCATATGGATATCTGAAAGATCATCCTATCAAATCTCAGAGGTCAGTTACCACATAGAAAGTAACTCCTAAATGTTTGGAGATGATGATGAAGATCATTCCTCACAGCCTATAAACACATCAAACTATTTTTCATGTAAGACTGAACGTAAATAAAACATTCCCTCGACTACACGTCACTGTCCCTCACTCTTACCACCCCATTTCTCTGCTCAACTTCATAGCAAAGTCCTTTTCTACAACCATCCAATCTCCTGCAATCTCTCTAGTCTTTTGTCTCCAAGTCTCCACCAGAGTTGCTCTTGCCAGAGACTTCCAGACACTTCTCTCTCTTTGTCTTATGAGATTTCTCAGAAGCAGCTGACACAGACCATTCTCCATTGGAGTTCACCTGCTGTAAGCTGGCCGTCAGAGTCCCAGGGTTGAGTGCTCAGACCACGTCTCTTCTCTCCGTACTCTATACTTTCTACCCTATGTCAAGATTGGCAACTCCCAAGTTTTTATCTCCAGCCCTGTCCTCTCTCCTTGTGTATTTAACTACTATCCGAAAGCTTCACTCAAGATGTGTTCTAGGGAGCCAAGTCTTAATCGTCAAAACCAAACTTTTTTGCTTCTTCCTAAATTTGATTCTCTCTCAACTCACAGCTAAATAATGGCATTACTGTTCAATCACAAATACTAGTTATCCTTGACCCCTTGCTTTCTCTCCTATCCAACCATCCAATCTGTCAACAAATTCTGTCAGGTCTGCTTTGAAATCGATTCTCCTCGCGTCACCTCCCCGCTACAAAAGCCCTGCCACCTGTCTCTGCCTCCATTGCTATATCCCTGTCCTCCCTGCTGTGAGAACACAGCAGCCTGGTTACCATTTGCCTTTAATGCGTGCGAATCACCCCCGGCCACCTGGTAAATACAGATAAACAGTCCTTGGCCAACCATGCAGCCTCCTCTTCTACCACTTGTTCCTCCTTGCTTCCCTCCGCTCCAGCTGCAGTGGCCTCCTCACCAGTCTGCACACGTTCCTGCCCTAGCTCTCCTTGCACTCATTCTGTCTGCTGCCCAAAGTGTGCCTCACCCAGTGTACCCTGACTCTGTCTGACCTGCTCCAATATTCCCACTTCAAAAAGACTTCCGTGACCCCACTAAGCCCTCCTACAATTCTCTGTCCTTTTATACTGTTTTATTTTTCTTCTTAACCATGACATTAACCTTTTAGTATATGTATTATATGGGCTTTTCTTTAGCTGACTTTTGTCTATCTCCCCATCAAAACATAAGGTCCATAAGGACAAAAGTTTACCAGCATCTAAACATGCCCAGTGCGAGGGAGGGTCAAGGCTATTTGCAGAACACACCTATGCACACAGGAAGGAAATACTTTCCTCGACAATGAGCATTCTTAGTAGTAACTATAATGTAGTGTGAGGATTAAAGGAACCAATACATGGGAAAGTGCTTAAAATAGACTATTAATATTATGCATTACTTCTGGCTTTTATTATAAGATTCACACCTCACATTCAAAGATCATTTTTCTTCAGTTCAGCCACAACTGAATATACATCCCAATCTTAAAGTTAACATTCTTCATAGTTACATATTTAGCTTTGAATTTATCAGCCAGCTTGTCATTCTATTTACATTTCCACTAAGTTTTCAGAGAGACAGTACACAGCAATTATAGCTTCTAAGATAGTCTGCCAAACTAATTAAACTCAAGCAAAATGTTTCAATTCTATACTAAAGTCTTAAAGCTGTATTTAAATTTTAACGAGGTTTGGATTTAAGGAAATAGCCAATTTTTTAATGATGTAAGTCTAAAGCTTCCTGTTTGTCTAGAACTTATTTATGCTTCTCAACCATGTAAGGATTAAGACTGTGGTACTATATTTCTCTGTCTGTAGTACTATTACTTGTATGCTGCTACTTCTTTGCTAGCTAGCAACAGTAAGCAGCATATAATGAAAACATAGCCACGTTTGGTTCATTTTCACTCCCCACAATGATTCTTTGGAAAGGAATAATGTTGAGTGACCAATCTCTTACCAGTACAGAAACCAAGATTTGCTTTGATCATTTCTAATTATTATGAAGAGTAGAGAAATCTGAGAAACCAGATGGTATGAACATTATTACTTAAGCTATATGAGTGGTAAACTCAATATTCATAAAATATCAGGGGTTACATCAACTGTCCATCACCCTTCTGTGATGGCTTCGTGGATTGTGGAGCCAGGTTTACTGTATTTCTGAGGTTAACTGGCAGTAGCCCTTGGACAAGAAACACTTCTTAATTCATATTTCTACCACTATATTGGGTAAATATCCAGCAAATGCTGGCTGAGTTTATGTCAGTGACTAGTTCATGTAACAGATCTTAGATGGCCCTAAATCTCTGAAGTCTCTGCAACCTTGAAGAGTGAGGTAAATGTCTAACTGAGGGTTATCACTAGTTAGCTAGATCTGTATAGATCTAGCTTTTGAGAGTACCCTAAATAGCAGTAGGTTTTCTCAGTAGGACATTTATCCAACTGAACCCAGTTCTTGGAGTGAAAGTATATTCTAAGCAAGGCTCCCCAATGTGGCTGATATTCTAAGAATCATCAAAATCAACTTTCAGATATTAAGGTAGGATTTTCCTTTTCAAAAGTACAAAAAAGCTCAGAAAGCCATCTATACAAGACCATGCCTTTGTGAAAAACTATACACGTAGATCATTTAAAAACTATAATTTTGAGGAAACTAATTTCTCAGTCATGGATCCTCTAGAAAGAGGCATTTATCACTACGTTAATGCTGGTACAGCAAATTTTTTAAGGCATCATCTAGATTGGTTTTTTTATTTGCAACGTTTTAATAATCAAAGACATATGTTAATAGTTTTGAATACTGAAAATATTCCATTAAAGATGCTTTGAAGCATAGCAGATTACTGGCACTTTACATGAAACTGTAAGAAGAAATGCAATTTTTAGACCCGAGACTTCTTCTAAGTACTGTGTGTCACATGTGGCTGATCAGAGACACACACATTGAGCTGTGCTTCTGCCCTAAGAGCAGGTGAGCATGATCCTGGGACAGAGGCGATAACCTGGTGAATGGAAAGAACTAGAGTACATGATGGGACTTCTGTGTTTTTCTGTCCGTTTTTTTTTTTTTACAGCCTTTGTTTCCTACTTTTACCCTTTTTATTTTAATTTGTCCCAATTTCAAGATTTTATGCATGAATGCTGCCACACTTCATATCTATTCAAGGGGAAATGGGAAATAAAATCACCTTGTATAACTATGACATGAATATGCAGGAGGGGTTATTAAAATCTTTTTGCTTTCATTTTGTTAAGAAAAGTTTTTATAGTTTCAGGAGCTTCCAAGTGAACAAAAAACTTCTCTCCCCAATTTTATTACATTTTTACTAAACCTGTCTTCTTATGGGAGAGTAAATTAATAAAAATTATGCTTCTGTTTTTAAAGAAATAACAATTGTGGTCCTTTTGAAAACTTGATCTTACATGAGGATGAAGGTTCCAACTAGCCCAACAAACAAGGAACACAGACAGGGCGCCTGCATGATTTAGTAAGAGAAATCGTGGGGTGACTTCACAGTGCCCTCTATTGAACATGTGTTGAACATACAACCAAAATTTATTAGAAATAATATAACCAGTCATTAAAAATGGATTCATAAAAACTGGCTAAATGCTTGAAGCCATTTTTTAAAATAAGATGTGGTATAAATGTCAATGATCAACAGGTTTTTCTTTTGAAATTAAAAAGAAGAGGCTAAGCTGTATTTTTACATTTAAATGTTTTGGTTTTTCGGTTTTCCTTATTTTTACTTCATATATGGCAAAAGCAAAAGTGGAGCCCTACCAATCTTGGGAGTGCCATGCCAGTAACTGAACACACAAGCTTGACGGTCTGTCCATAATGGATGTAGCCATCACGAACTGTGAATTCTTCTCCTTCTGATTCATCATCATCCACTGGAGTGGGGATAAAGAGAGAGCAAACAATTATCTTTCAGAATCCATTTAACCTGCTTAAGTGACAAAACTGAACATATCCCTATGTCTTATTATCAAAACAAATTGAACAATTTTACATTGAAAACATCAAGTGCACATTTCTATACTCACAGAGATGAATGTAAAATGCTCCCCACTGCTGAGAACTGGCATGGAAATTACCTCCTTCTACATGCAAGTATCTGGTACTGACTGTCTGGGATCGAAGTCGATTAAACAGAGCCACCTTTGTTCCTGAGGCAATGCATACTGCAAAGAAAAAGTAGCTAATGTTTATGTGATTTGGGGTGGGGGGACCAAAAAGGGCCGCTACCCGGCGAGTAATGCTTATTCTTTATAATAATTTAAGTAACAGATTCTGACAGCAAGTGCTTTAACCTTCAAAGAAAATACGGGTGATAGCCCTTTCCCCCAAAAGTCAAGGTAACGATATAACGTAAGCCAAACTAATCATTCTTAAATGAGAGCCGCACAATGTGTTAAATGCAGAACTGCTCGTCAAAAGGAATTTAAAATAATAAACATGCAACAGTAAGAAATTGATTAAGTAAATGATCATCTCATTCACCTATTTAAATATATCACATCTAAATGCACAGATAAGAAAATACCTTTCTGGAATATTACTGAACGGAAGAGGTAGGCTAGAAAACAATGTATGCTGTAGTTCCATTAGGTGTGTGTGCGTATGTGCACGTGGAGGGGTGGGGGGCGGTGTCCCACACACAATCTCTGGAATATTTTCATAGAAGTTTGGAAGGATATTTGCCAAAAGTTTAGGGCCACTGCCTCTGGAGACTGTGATTTTAGATTTCATTTTTTTTTTTAATACCTTAGAGTATAGCACTGCATGAAATTTCATGATAAAAACACACCATCTCTGTAATTAGGAAAATATTCTGATAGTGAAAGATGTTCTCTGCCATCAAGAAACTTATAATCAATAGAAACACAAAGTTGAAGAGGTTAAATAAAATCCTGTAATTTGGGTTGGACATAACCTAAATACATGGCATTCTATACCTTCTGAGGCAAGAATCCACCACTATCAAAGAGACCCTACCTTGTAGCAACAAAAAAGTAGCAAAGAACAACAAACTTAAACCTGATTAAAACTTCTAAAGTAACTACTGACAGATACTGTCTCCTTGACCATACTGTAGACAGGCTCCTCTGAGCTCTCTTTTTGACCAGGCCTCTTCTTTGGGCCCCAACACCAGCTTGCCTAGCCCACAAGAATCCTGCTCAGTCATCCTCCTACTCTTGACATCAAGTTCTTCCACCTTTTACATCTGATCACTTGCCTTTGGCAAGAATTCTGTTAAGCTAGCTAAGCAAGAACCTCCTTTGCCTTGATGGCTCCCCTAGTAATTTTCCATCCATTGACAACCCCCACCGCCCCCAACATACACACATTCTGCTCCTTGGTGATAAATCCCTGCTTGTCCTTGTATTCCAAATTGAGCTGGCTTCTTTACAGAAGTCTCTTTCCCCCTATTCAAGAGTGCTGAATAAAATCTGTCTTGACCACCATAAAGGTAGTGTCCAAAAGTTTCACTTTGACACTAATTTACAGAAAACATATTAAAACTACACCAAGGAAATGAAATAAACAAAATTCAGTATGTGAAAGTCTCTCATGCCCAAATGATTCAGCCTTTTTAATAACCTACAAGAAGAGAAAGAGAGAGGAAAATGGAGAAGGAAGGTCAATACAATATATATTGTAATACCTTGTAAACCTTATTTGAATTGTTGATTACAACCAAGAATATAAAAAAAAAATGACATTTTAGACAATTTTAAATTTGAATACTGATTACATTTACCCTGGCTTCCTCTGCCAGCTACACTGACCTCCAAACCACCATCAAATGAGAAGACTAAAAGAATTAGAAAAATCACTATTTTGTAGTCCTTCATGCAGTCACCATCAAAGGCTACTAAAACCGCTGGACTAAAGATTGCTGAGGAATGTGAAGATGATATAGCTTAATAACTTACAATAATCATCCTGATGTGACAAGATACTATTACATGACTTCTGAACCAATGGAAATGAACATACATTAGACCAGCTAATTATAAATGAAAGTCTTCAGGTCTAATCACTAGTGCATGGAAAATATGAGAAAACAGTAGAACATGAATCAACCAGATCTAAAATATGGAAACCACATGGGAAAAACAACACAGTCTCTTCAACCGAAGGGGGGAAAAAAAAAAAAAAGACATCAAAGAAAAACAGGCTGGTGGGAGAGAAAAGAATCTATTACAGATTGAGATGTGTGGACTTTGGACCCAGGTTTGAAGAGGCTTGTTTAAAAAAAAAAAAAAAACAACAAAAACAGAACGAAAGAGATTAATTTAGACGGCATGGCAAACTCACACGTGGACTAGCCACTGGTGGCAGTGAGGAGCTACAGTTCACTCTGCTGAGTTGGATGATGCTCAGAGAGAAGGCTGTTAAAAGAGCCACTAATTCAGAAATGGTTGAGAGGCTCTGCCATCTGGGATTTACATTAAAATGTTTTAGCATTTGGGCCTCCACGGTGGCGCAGCGGTTGAGCGCTGGGTTGCGAAGCTGCCCGCAGCCTCTGCAGCGCCGGTTCGATTCCCGGCTGCTCCCCGGCCACCAGAGGAGGGTCCCACATGGCGCGCAGACCTCTCCTGCCGCCCGCTGCTCCCCTCAGCAGTGTACTTCGGTCCTTCTGCCTGCTCTGCTCCCCGCTCTGGCCCTGGTGAATTCTCTCACCCTCCCGCGCTTCTGACTGTACCCAGTGCATGTATAAACAAAAAAAAAAACAAACGAACAAACAAATAAATAAATAAAACATGCCTCTATTTAAAAAAAAAAAAAAAAAATGTTTTAGCATTTGGAAGAGGAAGAGGTTTTGGTGGTGAAGGAGGTAAGAATTAGCAACACTCTTGAGGCAGGTGTCTAGTATCTTACACTACTTTCTTGTTGTTACATATATTTTCACAATTTAAAAAAGAAAAAGAAAAAAGAAAAAAAAAACAGTGCAGGGGTTAAAAAGTAAAACTCAGACAGCATTTATCTTTGGCAATCTATAAGTTTGCTGCTGAGACAGTGCTTTGTGCTACCACCACAATTTAAAATGTTGCGAAGGTTTTTGGAAACCTTTTGCTATAATAACAATTTGATGTAATAACAATTTTCTCAACATGCACTTGATAGTCTGGGTATATCAGTTCTTTGAAGAGGGGATGCTGTTACACATTTGGCATCACTGGCCCAAGACATCCAATGCTGACCTCACTACTCCCATTTTCCCAAATGCCTCTGGGCAACAGTAAGGAACTAACTCTGGCTGAGAACCACACCCTCAGATCTGGCACTGTGTATGTTGTATTAAGAAGAAAAGATAAGAAAGCAGCTTTAACACCTGAAAGTGACCCTTTCAGATAAGGTGAGGACCACAAAAATATTAGTCAAGACTTAACTGACTACCAAAAAGGAATTCCAAAAAATTCAAAAAGACAGGCCTACATACAGTCAGCATTTTTCAAGGACTGCTTCTTCTTGGAAGGTTTGGAGATGACTTTTATCCGCTTGCTGAGGAACACACCGATGTCATCACTGTTGCCGTAGAACATCTTGACAGACAGCATGAAGTGCTTTCTCTTGTCTGAATCAGATATGTACAACGTTTTGGCCGTGCAGTAATTCTGTGAAAGAAAAAGGAGAGTTCCAATAGCACCAAAACCTTGTTGCAATGCACTTAACAGCTCAGTACGGCAGCTGTTAGGTACACTGAAACAGCTGAAATACTCTAGGTTTTTAACCTTGAAAATCTCATGCTGTCAATTTTAATAGCAGACCAAAAATAACAAGTTTTTTTTTCATTTTGCAATCAGCAAAATTATATATAAAATTCAACTGAGTTTTTAGATTCAAAAGTGTGGTAACAGCTTAGAGAAGCTTTGTTCTAAAGAAATCAGATCATAAAAGTTAATAATAGTGATGAGAAAATAAAAACAGCAGAACTATGGATTCACTCTGCTCCTCAACCAAGAAGCTCTCAGACCCAGCACCCGAGAGCTGCTGTGTGGGAGCCACGGGTCCACCACACTTCAGAAAGCAACGGCAGTGAAGTCAAGCCTGAACTGCAGTTGTTTTACAACATAAGGCAAGCTCTAAGAAAATGGGTATCAGGGGCCTACCTGGTGGCGCAAGGGGTTAAGACGCAACCTGTGAAGTAATCCACAGTCACTACAGCATGAGTTCGATCCCTGGCCAGGCCAAGGAGCAAAGCACATGGCGCAGTAGACCTCTCCTGACTCGCCCACTGCTCCCCTCAGCAGTGTACTTCAGTCAATTTGCCTGTTCTGTTCCCTGCTCTGCCTCTGGTGAATCCTCTCAAGCCCCACATCTCTGGCCTATAACCCAGCTCTTGTATGCATAAATAAATAAATCTTTAAAAAAAAAAAAAAAAGAAAGAAAATGGATTGATTCAATATGCCAAAAATGGCATTCAGAGAACAAAAAAAAAAGTCACAAAAATGAAAGCAATTACATTATAATGGAAAAGTTTAAAAATGTTGAAATCACTTAATTTAAATGTTAACATCTTCTGATCTATAGCAGAAGATATAAAAGAGAAATAAAAAAAGAGCAGATAAGACTGAACCCTAAGATCTACAGACAAAGGACTCTAATTTGTTTGGAAAAAAGCAAACTTATATATCTCCTTGAAAAGAAGGAAGCACAGCTCTAATTAAACATGAATAGTTTGACTCTACAAATAATCATATCTGAGATGACTTTTTTTTTAAGATTTATTTATTTATTTGTTTGTTTGTTTGTTTGTTTGTTTGTTTATGCAAGCACTGGGTACAGTCAGAAGCATGGGAGGGCGAGAGAAATCACCAGAGCCAGAGCGGGGAGCAGAACAGGCAGAAACAGACGAAATATACTGCTAAGGGGAGCAGCGGGCGACAGGAGAGGTCTGTGCGCCATGTGGGACCCTCACCAGGTGGCCGGGAATCGAACCGGCGCTGCAGAGGCTGCGGGCAGCTTCACAGCCCAGCGCTCAATCGCTGCGCCACCAGGAGAGGCCCTCTGAGATGACTTTATTAGAACTATTAATTTTTTCTATAAGAGCAATGACCACAAACTATTAAATTCCATTAAGAAAAAAAAAAAAGGAAAAGTCACTGACTCATAAGAAGTATTCTGGCCTTAAGAAAATAAAGAAATTGGGCCTCCCTGGTCGTGCAAGGGGTTAAGCACCGCACTATGAAGCAATCCGTAGCCTCTGCAGCATGAGTTCGATCCCTGGCTGGCTAGGGAGAAACCCACATGGCGAAGCAGACCTCTCCTGTCTCCCCTGCTGCTCCCCTCAGCAGTGTATTTCAGTCCGTCCACCTATTCTGCTCCCTGCTTTGTCTCTGGTGAATCCTCTCCTCCCCACCCCCCACATCTCTGGCCTGTACCCCAGCTCTTGTATGCATAAATAAATCTTAAAGAAAAGAAAGAAAAGCATGTGCTAATCACATTAACAGGTTAATTAACAGAAAATAGCACAGATTAAATCTCTCTCCAAATTAACAAAAGTTTCAACTTGAAATCTCTGAAGATAGGATCTTCAGGCAATAAAAACATTTGCCCTGAAAAGAAAAAGAAACACCAGATATACTGCTGTAAAGATATACTATATAAAATTTCATTTGTAAAGCTGAAATTATAGGGGAAAAAACTCACTAGTAAGAGAGGTATAGGGGATGTAGTTTTTTAAAAAGAAGAAAAACACAAGTGTGCTAATTGGGGAAGTAATTAATGTGTTTGGCTTACCTAGCTCCAGCTATGTAAGATGTAAAATTGAGGAAATGAATATTTAACAAACGTACAACATTATTAAATGAAGTTTCACTCCAAATATTATCAACATACAAATGTCTTGACTATAAACTTAAAGGGATATATATATATATTTATACACACACAGTAACTTTATTATAATGAACATTTTAAATAAGTACAAATAACCAACAATGCAAAATAAATACCCCATCGTTCACAATAATGCCTAATTATACTCCTCAATAAACAGACTGTTGGAAGAAAACAATATTACATTAAATGAATGGACAGACAGACGCCAAGTTGTCTCTTTCCAAAGCTTAGCATCCCCCTGCTCAGGGACCCGCCCACACATTCCATATTCTTATTATACCTTCAAGCTCCAAGCACATGATTAGGTTGCTCTCTCCGGAAAGCTTTCTGATGACTCTCCACAAGTCTTATTTTACACAGACTTCTCTAATAGCCCCTTTCATGAAACTAAGTATTAACATATACTTTAAGCTATTAGATAGTGTAGTACCCTACTAGTAGGTATTTTAAATACTAGATGCTCAAACTCTTAGGTATTCTTTTCCTCTTCTTTGAATTTCTAGGATTTAGAAAAGGATATAATGATACAAAATGAAGGAAGATGTACCAAGCTGTAACGCTGGGAAAGGCAACTGGGAGTGCTGTTTGTTACTGCCTCCCTGAAATTGGTTCAAGCAAGAATGCTGTTCACTTTACACAGTTTTATTTATACATGTGTGTACATGTATGCGTGTGTGTGCGCAAACACATGTAGCTTGAATTCCTAGTTTCTCACTACCTGTCTAATCTATTAATCATTCAGAGTACCAAATGCCTAGATGCATGGCTTGGAGACATATAACTCTAAGACTTTCTATGTAACAGAAATACGGTAAGAGATGGCTGAGGCCTTTCAGATCAAACTACTGCGTAGTTATATTCTTTACTTTGGCTCTGGGGTCATAATTTAGAAATATATTTTTACAGCTCTATTTTCTTTTAAGATAAAACAACCTTTACTGTAGTAAGTTTATCCCAAACCTAATTTAAAATACATAGCTGACAAGTTATACTGATAAAAATTATAGACACAAATGAAATATATGCAAATTTGAATGAGGTTAAGATCCAGACTTCTTAGTAATCATTATCTATAAAATGACTAAAATTGAATTTGAGAGTAAAAATCCCCCCTATTTTACAGCCCTCAACATCACCTTCCAACCCCCATGTCTAGGGCCAACTACAACACAGCAAACACTAACATATACAACAAAGACTTACTGAATGGGGAAATAACATTCTATGCACAGTTTTTTAAAACATTCATGGTCATTGAGATCAGAACTAACCATTTGTCAGATTTTAGTGTCAAAGAAAAATAGTTAAATGCTAAATTACTGAAGAACTATTTTTGAATACCAAAGGTACAAATAGAAATGCCTGCTTTCCAAATTTACAAAATATAATTAGTAAAACGAATTCATAAATTTCACTCCCTCGCAAATTAATCAAACAAAATTCTTAAAAGTCTGAGTAAAGGTGACTCTGACTGGTCTTGTCTATATAGCACAGTTCTATAGTTCTGCTCTATATGGCAGCTAAATGAGACATTTATGACCTTTTTTAACTTAGGCAAAGGTATCCTGGAATTTATATAATCCACAATACTTCTAGTCTAAGACTAGGAGAGCAAAGTAAAACATGATCCAACACTGTGTTTTCACTGTTACTTAAATACCATGCCCCTGTCAGACAAATGAGCAAATGGCCTCCTAAATATATTATCAGCTTCCAATAGAAATGTGATTTATAGCTGCCAAAATTCCTAGCAGGCTGATGAAGCTTACTGTGTGCCACCTATATATGTCAACAGCTGGTGTTCCATGAATCAGACCACAGCTATTTTATAAGCTTATTTCTGGTTCTGATTTATATATTCAAGAAACTGCTACCAAGAGCTATAAAAGAAAAAATTGCCATCACAAAAGCCAATAAGCGACTGTAATCTGGGATTATGTGCCCTTCACAGGGAAGCAGTGCAGTCTTAATTTTTAATTTACCTTTCCTTCCAAGTTCAGCTGCTGCATTTCTTGGTCACTATTTCCTATTCCAATAAATGCACATGGTTGAGACTCTTGTTCAGAACAACCGTCACGTTCCATTTGTTCTTTTTTTTTCTTCCATCCACTGCCCATGAGATAGACACAAGGAGGAGGGCAAAAAAACCTGAAGCAATGGAGAAACCCCAAAACAATGCAATGAGATTTAAGAAAGCATTTCCTCTTCTTGAAGATATGAATAGAAAATTATATTTACCTGGACTAATAAATTAGCTTATTATGTTAAAATGAAACACTCTGTTGACGGCTTTTGTAACGCAAATAACAAAGCCCACAGTACAGAAATCAAGACTTTCTCAAAAATTATTTGTTTAGGTCAGGTTCATTTATACTGGAGTTATATTTTAAGAACTGGGAGCACTCTCTTTAAATTTTCATACAGTTAGAAATTCTAACCATTGGTGCTCAACAAATCCAGTGTATCCTAATACAAAACATTTACACACTGCTACAGAATCTACAATTACTGGTTCAGTCTTCTCAAAAGGATGTATTAATAACTGCTGTCTTTGATATTATACTTTATTTGATGATTAACCTGGAAAACAGAGCAATGGCCAAAGCAGAAACTTTCAAATTATTAATAAAACCATGTAGATTGAAGTAAAATGGATCGCTGGCTTGCTGTGTCTTATATATCTAAACCCCAAATGCCTGGTGTATGGGGATACCTAAAAGAATACACTGTATCCTTTCAACTCATAGACTGCCAACAGGTTTGTTTTGGTAGTTGCCAAAAACCCGCCCTCGTAAATTCTTCCCACCTAGAATGCTTCCCTATAATCTTCTCTTTAGCAATTAAAAAATATCTGTTTCAAAGTCTGGCTCAAGCCCTATATTTTACATAGTTCAGACCATCAATCCAGCCTTTACATAGGGTATAATTCACTTTTTCTCAATTATACATGCTGACTTATGCATGCTTTAAAATGTCTACACCACGTCTCAGGAAGGGGTCTGAAAACTGAAATACATAGTCAAACAGGCAAGTAAACTCACATAGCAGTCAGGCAAGCAATTAAAATGGGTGAACCAGAAGTACAATAAATAAGTAGGAATATTTTTCCATGGACTCTTTTTACTTGTAACACACAGCCCCACTCTTTGTATAGTTAAGGGTGTAGCAAAGTTTTTCTTACTACTCTTTATCCCACTCTATCAAAGCAAGAGTTTAAATGCAGGGCCAGCACCGGGGAGTGACACAACAGGCCACGGGCGTGGCATCGTGGGCGTGAACCCACTCACACCCTGAAAGGAGGGCAAGAGGGCCGAGCACTGACCACACCCTCTGAGGAGTCAACAGATGCCTGAAATCCAACTTTATGGCAAATTCCTAATTTTAAAATTTGGCGACTAATTTATATTTTTAATACTTCGTCGGCCAACAATACATAACTTTCTCAGAACGGGGATGTGAACATGTGCACACGCAGGCACTGCCGAGCTGAACCCGGCCTTCAGCTCCTCTTCCTACAGACACTGACTTCCTGTTTGCGCCCCCTCAGTGCCTACTACCATACTGACTGAACTGAATCAGTATATATAATGGTACCAATTTCTTGCTCAACTTTTAGTAAAAAGACTATTTAGAAGCAATTTAAATATAATCTACAAGTGGACTGGGTTTAATACTCATTAATTCACCCAATTATTTATTATATCCCTAGTCTTACCGGGTACTGGGAATATAGTAGTTTAAAAGAAGGATAAAATTTTCTGTCCTGGGAGAACTCACAGTCTAATAGGAGAGACAGAGAATCACAAACAATAAAGGGTAAAATAAAGCATATACTGCTAGCTGGCGTTAAGTACCATGGGAAAAAATACAGTAGGGAAGGGGCATTAAAATTTATCAATAGAAGACCCAGGTGGCCAGGAAAAGCTTTCTTAAGGAGACCTTCAGTCACAACCTAATGACATGGTTATTGGTGCTTGGAGCAAAGGGATTTCAACAGAGAAAAGCAAGTGCAAAGGGCCTAGAGTAGGAAGAACTATCAGGGCCAGTGGGAAAACAACAGACTGGAGTGAGTGGGACAATGAAGACAGAGAATAATAGCTGAAGCCAGAGGTCATGGGGAAAACAGAACCAGCTAGCCAAGCTGAGTGAGGAGGAAGCCTCTGGAGTCTTTCCAAACGTACCCAAACAGAAAAAAGTCAGAGAGGCTCTCATGCCTGTATACGCTCGCTGTGGCCACGGTCGTAGAGGTCATAGCTGAGGTGGTGGCTAAGCTCCAGGTCACTCCAAGTTTGGAGGGATGCCTAGATTAGCTGGGCTACTTCTCGAGTTGGCTCCGATCGAGTCTGCACCCAGGATCTTTCTGGCCTATAAACCTGGGAGCCACCCAATGCTTACCGTGGCACAGACTCAAAAGACGTTAGCTGGCACACTACGGGGAGGTTGAGATGGCATGATTTTGAAAACTCGTTTCCTAACTGTATTTTATTGAATACTGATATTAACACTCCTGAGTGAAACTCGAAAGACTGTGTTTCAGGATCGTATAGCTAACATAGTAGTCAAATCTCAACAAGTTATCATAAAAGGTACTTTTATTTCACATCTGAATAAAGAGGGCTATAAAAGACTAGGCAATGCTGGTTTTCTCAAGAATACTATGATAAAATAGAATGAAACTAATAGAGCATAAAATTAGACAGGTTGACAAGAAATTCTTAATCACTCAAAGCAATGACCAAGGTTCTATATTGAAAGTGCTTTCTAATCATGTAGTAAGTTTAAGAAAAAACTCTGTAGCTGCCTATGAGCTAGCCTTATTTTATATGAACTCTACCAATGATTCAAAAAGTTGTGATTCAAGAAAATAGCAAATCCAATATAATCTTACCATTAAGATATTTTTATAATGTGATGAAATCACATTTTAAACATCCCAATATTGCCACCAAAAGAGCTAATGAATAAAATTTTCATTTCCACAGGCTTCAGCAGTAATATGATATTCAAAAAGTATATATACAAAAAAAGGAAGAATATAGATAAAAGAAACAATGGCGGGGAGGGGATAGGAACAGAAGGCCACCTAATTAACAAAAGAAAAGTTTAAATGCACCATTATATGGTGTGTGAAATTGATGATGTTTTTGAATTTGGACAGTTGGTCGACATGCATCAAACACTCAATGAAAAGTCTGACCAACAAGTGCCAGCTTACAGAACTAACAGCTGCTGTAAAAGGATATCCTATGAAAAACAATGTGCTTTATTTCCTAACCTTTCTCAGCAGCTATGACAATGCTGTTTCTGCCACTTGGTGGCGATAAGCACACATATATGATTTTATCATTTCCTAGATCAAACAATTAGTCTTTATTTTCAGAGAATGATTCAACAACTTTTTCCTCAAATCTTGAGAGGTCTGGAAAACACCTTACAGATTTAAATAAGTCTTTTATTCAGCTAATACAGAAAATAAATTGTCAGACAAAAATCCAAACACCATTTACATATCTGACTGCTTTTTATAGAATCTCATTGCCCTTTGGTAATTATACAATTCAAAAGCAAAAAAATGGAAACTTTTTGCACACCACAGTCCCTCATTAGCACACACCCTCAGTATGACTTTAGAATCACAGTCTAAATGGCTCTACCTATCCTCTAGAGGTGCCACGCTCATCTTCGCTACCACCAAGCATCTCCCTTGAAGTGAAGCTGAAGAAATGTTAATGTCAAATGGCATTTTCATGCATTTAATGGAAATTCTCCTCTAGACAAAACTGTCTTTTTCAAAAAGTTTACTTTTCCATCAGGAAAGATCTTCTCTAATGAAAAAGTAAAACAACCTAACATAAATGGGGTATCAGATGTGCTGTGTGCTATGCAAATAAACATTCGTTATTAGGCACAAAAGTTAGTATCAAGAACAATTTGAAATTCTAGGGTAGAATTTCCTGACCAAATATTTCTCGCATCATTCACAGGAGTTATTTTATAAGCCAAGAGAACTGTGGTCATGTCCCCAGGTTACCTCATGCCTTAAAGTCTCAGCAGCTTTTCAGAAAGGACTGCATCTGGGTCAGCAAGAAAAGCAGACATTGCTCCACTGCTGTGTACCCCACCAGTGACTGAGGGACTAGAGTTCAAGGAAGAAGCCTTGTCGGCATCCACGGGGCTGGATGCTATCCCATACTACTTTTTAAAAAAGAGTAATTTTAAAAAGGTTTTCACCTTTGTAAAACGAATGCAGGTCTGTCTACTCTGGAAATTTTAATACAAGTTAAGTAAAAATACAAGAAAGTAGTTACTCTGGCCTCTTCATTTTTTTGGAGGATAAAGGCTTACATTCTTTAAGTTTCCTTTAAGGTTTTAGACTGGCCAGGCCATATACAAATAAGAAAGAATTTAAAATAAAGGCAACCACAATAAAAGATAATCCATTAAAGCACCTATTTTAACTTGATAATCCACTATTGCTTTGAACTCATTTACTTTTAACAGTGACTAACAAATAGAAACCTTATCTGCACAAAATTTTTTGCGTAGCTCTTTCTCTTCTATAATTGCCACCAGGTCTGTCATCCACCACAGTATTAAATGACATGTGACTTTTTAAACTTCCAGTTAAGATCCTTTTGCATAGGATCTGGTACCTATTAGGTCATCAGAAATAAAGAACAATTTAGTTAATGAATGAATCCAACTATACAAAAATGCATTTTCAAAGAGAGAGACACAGAGAGAGAGAGAAATGCAGTACTACCTGTCTATTCATATTTCCATTAGGTCCAGCTCAGTCTCACTCAGCTAATGGTAAAAGGGATAATAATCGTTGGCAGACTTAAAGCTTACAAAGCTGGTTTTCTTTACCTTTTCCATCCCAAGCCCTACTTGTAGATAACCATCACTTTGAACACAAAAAGGAAGGCTATAAAAATGAGGGTAATAGAAATTTGGAATTATATACCCAGGAGTACCAATCTTGGCTTCACTGATTCCTAACTAATGTGAAACTGGGCATAGTCAAAGTCTCTGGTCTCTAGTTTCCTCATTCAAAGAATGAAGATTATAATGTGCCTACTTTATAAAATTATTCTGAGGCATTTCCAGAACAATGTCTGACTCATGATTGGAGTTGAAGAAAGCAAAGCTGTTTCTTCTCAGCTTGCACTATGAAGCGCAAGGCTAGCCTGACTCCTCTCAATTAATCAGTGTTGACCTGTTCTGTTTTGTTTAGAAAACAGAACAGCCTAAGTAACATGTTCATTATTGGGAAAAAAGTACTGACTATCCAGTATCAGCTTCATAAAGAGTCACTACCTTGATTTTACTGCCATGTTAGACTGTGGCCACACTGGCTTCTAACCTCTTCCCATGTTTAACCCTAATCAAACTCGTGTTTCATTAGTAAAACAAAATCATCAGCTATTTAGCAAACTTGAATAACGATTCAAAAAAACAACACTTGGCAGCAGGAGCCCTAACATTGTTTTCACTTGTGCACCCTCTTAGAGGATAAGACTGTCAATTAAGTAGCTTCCTCTTCGTTTCAGTTCAAATTTTGAGGCCTTTAAAAAGAATGACTTAATTTCCTCATAATATGTACATTAATTCTACAGTAACATTTCCCTTCTCTTATGCATATGCTAAGACTTCCCTTTATCTCACATAGATTCTACTCATTCTATTGAGGGGAAGGATGTCCTGAACAACTCCTAATAGGTTTTATGGACCCCACTCCCACCCCCGACCAGAGAGATCCAAGTCACCAAGGACTGCACATTCCATAATGCCATCGTCACCAAAGGCAGGACTGCTGGGAACTAAGCCTGGAGGTAAGCAGCCAGGTTGGTATATAACCAGACGTGGGGTTGGGGGTGCTTGTTTCTTGCCAGCCTTTTTGTGCGTGCCTGCAGTTGAGTCTCATAATTATAAGTCCCTTTTAAGCGCACAAGTGAGGACCCACAGTTAGGCCAACCCGTTTCACTCTGGGGTTGCCCCGTAACAATTCCTTTCAACCCAATACCCACACCTGAGTTTTCATTCCTTATCCTATTTCATGTTGGTGCCTCCTTTAGTCAGTCCAAAAAAAATCTTCCCCAAGCCACCTCTGTCCATAAAAACTTAATAGAAAAATGTGAGACTTGAAAAACCATTAACAAGAAAAATCCAGAAACCAAGTAAAAAAACAAAGTCCACAACCATACACAAAAATTATGAAATTTAAAAAATACTGTGACAAGTATTAAACATAAAGGTCACTTAATGATGACTTCATCTTGGCTCATCTGAGGCACAGGTCCTCTCCATGGTACTCCCTCCATGTGTCTGAGAGGACCCCTACATGCACAAGTGAAGATACGGAGGGTTGAGACCTCTTTAAAATTACCCCAGTTCAACCTGGGCTTGTTTCTGTCTTTTCCTTGCTAAAATAGTATTTTTGGGGCGCCTCCCTGGTGGCTCAAGGGGTTAACACACAAACTATGAAGCTGTCCGTAGCCTCTGCAGCATGAGTTCGATCCCCAGCCAGCCAGGGAGCAACTTACACGGTGCAGCAGACCTCTCCTGACTCACCCGCTGCTCCCCTTAGCAGTGTGCTTCAGTAGCTCTGCCTGTTCTGTTCCCTGCTCTGTCTCTGGTGAATCTTTTAAACCACCCCACCCCCCTACCTCTGGCCTGCACCACAATTCTTGTATACATAAATAAATAAATCTTTTTAAAAAATAGTGTTTTGGAGGTTGCTACTGCCTATAAAATTGCCTATAAAATTTTCCACCCAAAGAAAAACTACTTTGCAAATGAACTAATATGTGACAGAAATACTTAGGGAACATCATGCAGTCCAAAAGAAAAATCACGAACTATTTTGTAAAATCGGGGGTTTAGTAAAATGATCTTTGCTGAATGTGCCACAATTCACTTTGTTTCTCCCCTTCAATAGACACAAACCACATATTTTTCATTCTGTACTTGCACATTATGTAGTAATGAAGCTATCCTCTTACTTATTAGATAGCATTTACAAATTCACGTAGCAGTTACCATTAACCATCCATCAGAAAAACAATCTTACCGTTTCTCATTTCCATATGACTTCTGTGCAACTTTTGCATGAAGAATAAGCACTGTTTGATCCCCTCGCTCTTTTAAATAATTTCGCATAGCTTCCCTAAAATAAAATGTAAATTACAGGGGTGAGATGTAGAATATTACTCGTGCACTGAAATGTGAAGAATACTTGTATTTCTTCAAGCAAGTAAATCTGACAACAAAAACAATACAGCAATACCCATGAACTGAATTACACAACGGAGTAATAACCACTGCTCATCTTCAATTCCATTCCTTAGAAGAAACTGTCCCTTTGCTTGGAATTTATGAGTAACTATTAAAAAACATTACAACTTTTAGAAAAACTACAATCACCATTATATTTATAATATGGCTTTAAAGTGTTTATAAAATTAATGACGTGCAATAGTTTTGCATTTAATAATGTACCACCAGCTCCTCTCCCCAGTGTTTTAAATTCACTACAGTCATGACTTATATTATGACATAGTCTTAAAATAACCCCAGATAAGGACTAAGAAAGGCTATCATTTATATTTATCTTGATGGTCATTACAAATGTACAGTAAAATTTGATAAAGAGAATTCAAATTAGTGAAAAACAACTGGAATGAATTTGGGGAAAAAATAACAATTTTAATTCTTCCATGTACAAATTACTCCAACTACCTATTTATTATGAAACTATTATTCAAAGAAGGTTCAATTTCTTAAAGATATTTATTGACATTTTGCTAAGTTATACCTTAAAGAATACAAAGTCTACACAGATGATACTCTGATAATTCTGAGTCAGCAGAATCCCAATTCTTGAGATGTTTTTAGTACAAAACTAAAGCAAAGGTACTTCAAAGACAATGATCAAGAAATACTTTTAATAAATTAAATGGTCTTTAAATTTACATTATAAGTAGTAGACAAATGTACAGGAGGGCAGTTACAATGTATGTCAGTAAATATGGGGAATTCCACAGAGCTGTAGTACTTAAAAACTAAATAGCCTGGGGCAAATCATTTAACCTTATCCAGCCTTGGTTTCTGTATCTGATAATAACAGAATATAATGCTGACCTGACACAGAGTGACTATAAGGACTAAATGAGATAATCTAGAGGTCAAGCTAGAGGATTCATGACTATTGACTAAAAACCTGTTATCTGCAAGGCAGGGCATTAAACTGGAGTCCATCCAATAGATTGAGTATATGTGCTGCCGAAGCGAGCACTCAATAGATTGAGGACTAATCCTTACCCGAGAAAGAGCTCAAAGTGCACTGGAAACCAGAGTTTGGAAAATGACACTTTAATGAAATATATGATTGAAATACAGGTATGAACAAAAGGCAGACAGACGGAATGTCTATATAAAGGATTACATGCTAGCAAAAAATTTCTTAGAAAAGCTAAATTCTGGAGGAAGAGGCGTAGACACAGTCAGTGGGAGAAGAGAACAAGGAATGCAGTCAGGAAAGGCAGGGTGCAGTGAGAGATTCAGGCTAAAGAGTCAGGCAGCCACGACAACAAAACAGCAGCAACTAATATTTCTGGATGACTGACTATGCGCCAGGTCCTGAACTAAGCACTTTAAATGAATTATTTCATTTAATCCGCATAATCCAAAAAGGTAAGTATTGTTAATACCATTTCGAATGTCTTGCTCAATGTCTTACAATTAATAAAATGGCAGTCAGGAATTGAAATAAATCCTCTAAGATTCTACAGTGAGTCACAGCAATGAATAAAGCTGACAAGTTGGGTAGAGTCAGATTTGAAAAATTTGTCAAATTCTTTAAAAAAAAAATCTGACATTTGTAAACTTAAATACTGATGATAAAGGTTTAAACTAACTCAAGTATTACCCTATGATAAATAATGAGAAAAGATGTAGCAGTAATAAAATTCTTAAGAGACCTAAAGAAAAACTAACAACATCAACAAAAAACACCCCACCATGATACGGAACTTGAGTTTTCTATATACAGAAAGGGCAGTGAGAGATCATGATGGTTTTTTTAAAGATACAATTAATTTTCCACTTTAGTTAATTCTACAGGTGGAACAAAAAAGGACTAGAAAAGAAGCAAGACAAATTCAAGAAAAGAGGCTGACACACTAAGAATGAAAGGTAATAGGAGACAGTAGGGGGAAGAGAGGAAAAGACTTAATACTTCAAAGATCTGCTGTGGGGAATAAATGGGTATATATGTAATATGTTCTGCTTGACAAATAACACTCTGAAGTGTCCTGAACCTCCAACCTGGAAGTACCTAAAGGCTGTTGGACGACCTCTGTAGTTCCAGAGAGGTGTCTGGGTTGTGAAAGTGGGAATTGCTGGTACGCCTTTGGCAAGTGAAGCTGTGGAAATAAGATCTCCCAGGAAGAAAACACAGTGACAGGAGTCAAGAAAATGTATATTAGAAAAGGAGAAGGGCTGGAAAGGGGTAGAATGGAGACTATTCTTAGGTGCTATGAAAGGAGTGACTGCAAAAGAGAGTAACAATGAAAGGTGACATGCTGCAGAGGCTAACAGATGCCAGCTAACAGCAGGTCTTAGAAACTTTTTGTAAAATGAGGTTGTCTAATGGGTAAGAAAATAACAGTGGATAGTAGAAAAACCCTCTAGGGAATGGCGAAAGCAACTAACTATGGGCAGGTAAAGATAAGTATCAAAGAACCACCAGCTAATGTTGGACTCCATGAATGACAAGGCAATTCCCACCAATACTCCATGGTGGAGTATAGCCAGCATATTCTCAAACCTGCTGTGTGCTGGACATTAAGTGCAGCCTAGAGAGGGTAACATTGACAAGATCTGAGGTGTTGTTTAGTCAGGTGACTGACCATAGAGTTCAGGGTTGACAAGAAAGCACAGAGAATTTAGAAGGCCAGTATCTTAACAAAACAGACACAGAAGTCATCCCTGATATTAAACATGAAAAGTTGCTATACACTTGAAAGAAAAAATTTAGGGTGTATCTGCCCACCCTAAATTCTGTTGCATTTATAGTCCCTATTATATCATTTGGCTTTACTTATTTGTCAGACTCCTTGTCAGTTTCTCTCATCTTCCCAAACATACTACAAAGTCTTTATGGGCAAGATCCTTATCTCATACTTCTATTCCTTTCGTTCACAGCAGGTAACAAACTGGGTATTGATGAATACCCAAGGCAACTGCAAACCCTTTCTACAAAAAGGTGAGTTATTGATCCTAATTATTAAAATAACTAAAATTAAACCACTATTGTTACTAGTGTTTTTAAGTACATTCTTTGTTAATTTCACTTAGTATAAATTATTTATTCTGAAAGAAAACCAATTATAAGTTATTTGCAGAGCACCATGGAGGAACATCTTTTGAAAAAGTCTGTTTACTCAAAACACAGAAGAGTTTAATCATTTAGAAAAGAACAAGATACATTTTTATTAGTAATTTTACCAATGCAAAATCATGGTAAATGCCATTCTAGCTTGGTATGCTTAAATTTTCTTTTTCTTTTTTCTTTTTTTTTAAAGATTTATTTATTTATGATTACAAGTACTGGGGTACAGGCCAGAGGTGTGAGGATTCACCAGAGACAGGCAGATAGACCGAAGTACACTGCTGAAGGGAGCAGCGGCGAGTCTGGAGAGGTCTGCAGTGCCATGTGGATTGCTCCCTGGCCGAGGAATGAACTCGTGCTGCAGAGGCTGCCGACAGCTTCACAGCGCTGCGTTCAACCCCTTGCGCCACCAGGGAGGTCCGGTATGCTTAAATTTTCTACCATTACCTTTGTGAATTTTGGGGCTGTTTTCCTTTAGAAATGTCAAGCTTTTTAAAAACTGCAAACAAAATGCACAAAAATAATGTCTGCTGCTAACGCCCACTCTTCCCCTTACTTTTTCACCGCCTCATACAACTCCATGACGTGGGCAGTGGGTAAGTGAGTTAGGCCAGATTAGTGTGTGCAAGGCAGAGGGCTGAGGTGTGCCTATAGGCAACTGAGTTGGGAGCTAACCACAGCCAGCCCCTCCTACTAGGAAAGCAGCCCTCAAGACAGGGGGTCCAGGCAGTCAATTGTCCTCACCAACATGCTTGGTCCTTGTACTTCTCAGGTTGGATTTTTATTACATCTAAAACTCAAATAATAAAGTTCCAACATGAACTTCTAGTAAAGAAACCTCTGTTGTTGTTGTTGTTGTATCAGGTATTTCAAAAGTCTCTCTCATGTTAAAACAAGATAGTGGTACCCTGTGATACCAAACATAAAGTAGCTCTTATTATTAGAAAAGGCCCAATATAGACATTAATCAGAACAAAGTCAACAATGAAAAATGGATGGTTCTCTTGTTAGAAAATGAAGGGATGAATCATCAATAGACATGTAAACAGCATCTTTAGCTATAATTTGGAGTGGACAGGGTAGTTTCCTTGTTTGTAAACAAGGAGAATTCATTTTTAAAGAGTTTTGCATTAGGAACTGGTAAAATAATTCTCAAAACTGCATGCTATGGATAGGAAAGGAGATTTTAAAAAATAGGGGCATATTCAAGGATAATGGAATTTCAAAGTTAATGCACAAATAGTTATAAAGTAAATATAGCCAATGTTCAAGTGGATAACAGATATGGAAGCAACTTCTTAACTATCATGTTGGATGTTAGGACTTACTCCGGGCAACCTCCAAAACAAGTCAAGAAAGAGCCTCAGAAACTGAGTTTTTCCACAAATGACTAGGGCAGTAATAGAGGTATGTTTAGGACAATGAGACCAGAGACATGTGGCAATGAAACCAACAAATAGGGCCTTAAAAACCAAAAGTAATTAATCCAAGCTATAAAGTTTTCAAATAGAGAAAACAATATATAATAGGTCCAACAATTACAGCAGCCTTAAAGAAATGAACCTATGAAGCAAATCCCTTGATCCTAAACTCAAGCACAAGCATGACGTAGGGGTGCCAGTCCAAGAGCTGTGGAGGGGAAGAAGGTCAAGACTACATGCCATCAAAGAGTCTTACCACACAAGAGACTTCAAGATTCCAGTTATAACCTTTTCATTATTGGTAACAGAGCAAAGTGACTTATGGCACAGGGTACTAAGTTCAAAGTCTATTTT